AAGTAGATCTGCCTTCTTATTCTACCAATTCTGTGATTCTAGAATATTGGATATGCTGTATTTTAAGACCGCCCCACAAGAATAATTCCTCTTCGTTCTTTCTCCAAGGCTGAGCAAGTCAAACGTTAAATATGGGCTAGTAACCAAAGTTAAATATTTACTATAAAATAGGATGTTACTCTCTGATTCACTGTATTTAAGAACCAAAGGTACAAAAGGTTCCAGTAGCTAAATGCTTCACATAGTCCAATACCCTTACCTGTGCCATCTTTCTCCCATAGAAAAGATTTTCCATGACAAGGAGATCTAACTTCTTCTCAGTGTTGTTCTGAGAGTTCTTATAACCAATTCTGTAAACTCCAAGAATTTTGGCCAATGCCGTGGGCCTCTAATCAAGAGAAGGTCAAAATAAATTCTTATCAAAAAGGGTTATTTATAATTTAATACCAATGTAAGGATTATCCATGTAATAACTGAACATAATTTTCTATTAATATGACCAGAGGACTTTGAAAAAAACTCAAACTCTTGAATCTCAGAAGTGAGTATACCAGCAATGCCAATAAAAATACTAGATCCTTAACATTCTCCCAAGGAATAATCCTTCAGTTGATCAAATTCAAAAACTTCATTATGACATGTAATTTCCCCCAAAACTATGCAATAAACCATGATAACTTCAAAAAAAACCCCAAAACTATGTAACTCTTTCATGATTCTAAGATGACAGTTCGGTTGGGGTGGGGGGCACTGGTGGCTGCTCAACGACAAGTGGGCAAACCTGGGCCACTGGCTGCCTCTCTTTCTAGCTAAAGGAAGTATCCCCTTGTTTCTCAATACACGTTTCAGTCTCAGCAAAATTACCAACTACTGAATGTGCACCTAATTTCATCCAGTCTTAATGTCTTAAGTGATTTTTTATATAAACTAATTAAAGGCAACTTGCTCAAGATCATTTGGTTCCTCACTAACAAACGCAGGAAATACAGAGTTTAAGATCTCTGAGTCCTATAATACCTCAATAGCATAACAGAGATCGATTCCTGTCCTGCATATATCTTACCACAGAGAAAACTGCCATTAGGACTGTTAGAGTTTGGATGTTTGCCCCTGCAAATCTCATGTTGAAATGTTATCTGCAATGCTGAAGGTGCGGCCTGCTGAGAGGTATTTGGGTCATGGGAGTGGAACCCTCATGAATGGCTTGGTGTCCTCCTTTTAGTAATAAGTTCTTGCTCTGAGTTCACACAAGATCTGGTTAGTTAAAAGAATGCAGCACTTCCCCCCACCCCCAACCCCACTCTCTTGCTCCATCTCTCACCATGTGACATGCTGGTTCCCCTTGCCCTCCACCATGACTGTAAGCTTCCTGAGGCCCTCACCAGAAACAGACGCTACCAGAATTATGCTTTGTATACACAGCCTGCAGCACCATGAGCCAAAGAAACATCTTTTCTTTACAAATTACCCTGCCTCAGGTATTTCTTTATAGCAACACAAGAACCGACTAACAGAAAGACTCAGGATGTGAAAAAAGCCACCAAACTTTGATTACAGACCACGGTTTTAGATTTCTACCTTTTGTTGAACAGCATTTGTAATATAATTGAAGTAATGTGGTGCAAAGTCGAGGAAAGACTGGACTTCCAGACGAGGCATTTGCTTCAAAATAAATCTATCATCTAAAAGGCAGAAATTTTATGTGTTTACTCAATCATGATATATATTGTAATCTATAATACATCATTCCAAAGATCCTAAATGATTGGGCTGTTTTATGATTTTAAGGGAAATTTTCTAATGTCAGTGAAAATTTTCATCAGAACATAATTCTCAATGAACTGAAGGGCTCCTATGGATTTATGTAGTCAAATACCCTCTACTTTTGTCAATAACACATCTAAGTTCAGTTCTAGAAGATCTACTTTTTAAAACTACCAAACAAAACTTTATAAACACCTCTGTTAAATCTAGTAGGTCATAGTTACGAAAGTTCTTATTAAGCAATATCCTTCCTGCTGCATTTTCTGAGGGAAAGAGATGGAGACTACTGAACCAATCAATAAACAACGAGAAAGGCTCACCTTCAGTTGCATAGAAGGCAGCTCCTGATTTGCCTCCCCGGGCCTGCCAGGGGGATGAGTGGGAGAGGGAACGAATGAAATCTTCCTCACTGCTGTCCAGAATCACTTCACGCATCTTATGAAACTCTCCCGCATAGTAGAGCCGACAGTAAAACTTGGCATTAGCATCGGAAAATTCTATAAACAACAGAAGTTTTTTAAAAAAGCTTTACAACTCAGAAAATATCTTCCTCCTCCGCCCCCTCATCCCCTGCCCTGGCCAAATACAACCATTTAAGTTTCTCCATGATGGCATTTTGCATGTTAGATCCAAATCCCTATTTATCACAATTTTGTTTAAGTGATCTTCAGGGGGAATTTTAGAGCATCTTATGTGCCTCTTTTTATATTTTTTCCAAAAAGAGAGAAAAATGTGAATCTCACACAAAAAAATATGGCTGAGTTCTAATTTTACCCTTATTACCTACCATATTAATATCATTGTACTTTTAGAGCAATGCTTAATAAATATCTTAAAATGTAATGTACATATTATTCTGGATAATACATTTCTGGCACCCATATACACAATTCTAAATCCAGTTGTCAAAATTCTGTGGCTCTAGATTACATAAGTAAATGTTTTAACTATTAGAAATGAAAGCAGGCCGGGCGCGGTGGCTCAAGCCTGTAATCCCAGCACTTTGGGAGGCCGAGACGGGCGGATCATGAGGTCAGGAGATCGAGACCATTCTGGCTAACATGGTGAAACCCCGTCTCTACTAAAAAATGCAAAAAACCAGCCGGGCGAGGTGGCGGGCGCCTGTAGTCCGAGCTACTCGGGAGGCTGAGGCAGGAGAATGGTGTAAACCCGGGAGGCGGAGCTTGCAGTGAGCTGAGATCCGGCCACTGCACTCCAGCCTGGGCGACAGAGCGAGACTCCGTCTCAAAAAAAAAAAAAAAAGAAATGAAAGCATAATTTACAAATAAATTATGCTTTTGATAAAATTTCTTTATACATTAAATGTATATTTTACAAACTATAGATTAAATATACCTCACATCAGCACACAGACTTAATATTCATTTCAAGAACTGGGACATTTATTCAGTATGAAGCTAGAATTCTCAAATAATAGAGTTGGCTCAACTGTAGTCCCTCTCCCCAAACCAATGATATAATATCTCATACTTACGAAGTTCCACATGAGGATTTATGAGTTGTTTCTTTTGTGTATCTCCTCCATCTACGTCATCTAAAAGGTTTAATATCATTAGTAAAGCCAAGGTTTTGAGTAATTATCAGTTCATTTTGTCCTTTCCTTTTTCCTTGATGTAACAAAAAAACTTAGCAAATTAAAAGCAAAAATATCCTACTCAAGTCACTATCAAGCAAGCATAAGATATACAATTAAACTGTCTAAATGATTACAATAAAAATGTTAAGTGTTTTTGGAATTTCAGTTTTTAAATTAGAAAAATAGAGAATTTAGGTTGAATACTTTTTCTTACAACTGAATGATTCCTACAATGGCAATATAGTAACTCAGTTCTTATACCAAGAACTTCCATGGCTTCTTTATTATGACTATTTTCCCCATGTGTGTAGAATAATGTTTCCCCAATCGTTTGCACTGCTTTATCATGTACTAAGCTATATAAAATATGTATAAAATATTATTTTATAAAACATAATTTTAAAACAAAATTATATACCAGTTATATAACTTTATTATTAGCATATAACATATATAATTATACAACATAATTAACATATAATACAATTATATATTAATATACTTAAAATATATTTTTATACATAAAATATACTAGAATCTATGTCAGAGCTATTTTTTTAATATGTTACTGACTTGCATTGCAAGCCTACTACTTTCTGTTTAATTATTAGAGATTTGAAATACATCTTAATATCTAGAAGAACAAATAGTCCCCTAAGTTTCACATTTCAAAATAATTTTTGAAGCATCTAGGCCTTCCAAGGATGCCATTATAAACAGCTACAGCCCAATAGCAAGCAGCCTATAGAATACAAAACAGGTATCTTAATTACTAGTCAAAGTTTATTATAGCAGTTGTTTTTTTTGTCTGTCTGTTTTTTTGAGATAGAGTCTTGCTGTCACCCAGGCTGGAGTGCAATGGCGCAATCTCCGCTCACTGCAACCTACACCTCCTGGGTTCATGTGATTCTCGTGCCTCAGCCTCCCAAGTAGTTGAGATTACAGGCATGCGCCACCAGGGCCGGCTAATTGTTTTATTTTCAGTAGAGATGGGGTTTCTTTATGTTGGCCAGGCTCGTCTCCAACTCCTGGTCTCAAGTGATCCACCCACCTCAGCCTCCCAAAGTGCTGGGATTACCATACTGGGCCCAGCAGTTGCTATTTTTAAAACTACTAATTCATAGACTAACCCAGAGGACACCAAACTATTTCTGTATAGAGACAGAGTAAATATTTCACTCTGAAAAAGTTCCAACTACTCAACTTGCCAATATAAGTGAAAGTAACCAGATGATAAGTAAATGAATGGGTGTTTTCTCAATAAACGTTAATTTACAAAAAGAGGTCATCACAGTCTGCCTATTCCTGATCTAAACCTATACCCAAACACAATGAGGTAGATACACACATGCATACATACACACACACATTTTTTTTTTCCACACTTTATTGCTCAGGCTGGTCTCAAACTCCTGGCTTCAAGTGATCCTGATGTCTCAGCCTCCCAAAGTGATGGGATGATAGACATGGGCTATCTCACCCAGCACTGGACATAATTTTTAAATTTCAAAATGAAGGGCAACATAAATAGCTGCAACTTTACAGGGACTTGAAAAGAAAGAAAACATTTGAGTATATAATATGAGTTACATATTGAGACAGATGTTTTTACATGTGGAATGTCACATCCACCTTGGAAGACATTGTTTTTGCCACTTTACAGGTTATGGAAACGAAAGATTTCTGATTCTACCACACAGTACACGATGGCAGTGAAATCTGAAACTAGTTGGACTCTCCCAGTGCCATGCTTTTTCCACTCTAACACACTGACAAGTGAGAACAGAAGGAATGCCACAGTTTCAGCACTAAGAATTATCTATTTAAGGCTGTAAGAAATATATGCAACTAAAATAAAAAAATCAAAGCCTAGAATAAGCATATTTATTCTTCTTTAACACACCTTGAGGCTCAACGCCTTGATTCTCGGTCCCCTCCTTGCCCGTCTGCCCAACCTGGTAGTAAGCACTATCTGCTCCACGTAAGGTCTCTCTCTTCTGGGAAGAGAGATCGGGGCTTTTCCCTGCTGTCCCTCTGAAGAAGGACAACATTCCAGAAGCCTTTTTGGCTAAAAATAAGAAGTTACATATTAATTTTAGTACAGGTCACTGCAGATGGAAAATAAAAATTTTCAACTCATTTCTTTATTAGCAGTAACCACTATATGAAGTTAATCAATCTGAGTAATGCAGGTACTTTTGTTTGCACATTGTCCCACATGTTGTTACTTATTGTTCCACAGGTTGTTTTTGCATAATCAAGCACCCTTTTTAACACAAACCACTGTTAATAAAAACTTAAAAAAAGATGGAGGGTTAACACTCAGCTAGATGAATATAAAAATATGGGGAATTATCTAGAAAGCCTTTCAAAAATATCTTTCAAAGGCAGTCACAGCTTAAGCAACAGGATTAAATTAGGGCTGAGTTCTTACAGTATTGCAATATAGTTAACTAAACGAACACAAAACAATTTCACAAGCTACAAGAATTCAGTTAAAGGTAATATCTTTGTGTCATTTGTGTTCCTACACTCCAACACAGGAAAAGATAAGATTTCCTTTTTAGCATCTTTCAAAAAAGAAAAAAGGCCATCAAACAGCCAATAATTTACTAAAGCTTGCTCTATACTTTTACTTCTAGTTTTGAGCTTCATTCATCATACTATTAATATGATTCTAATTCTTGCAAATTTACCATTTACAAAATCACAGAAAATGTCAATCATAAATGTGCTTACTTGGGTAACAGACACTAGTATTCCCTCCTTAATATCCACTCCTACCTGGTTCCCTACTAACAGAATGCCAACTTGGGGGAAGAGGGGAGCGGGGTGGGATGTGTGACTATGTGTACAGCACCAGGAAAGGATCATGATTTGTATAACCCAGCTGGGACAATGCTGCTCCCTACTTTCTCTGTCTCTTTCAGTCAGGAGTGGCCATGAGCCCCAGTTCTGACCAATGAGATTAAAGGAAGAGCCTCTGCTTTCCTAATGAAAGAGAACAGCTGCAGTTTGCAACATCCTGGTTTCTGCCTCAAATTCAAACAAAAATGGAACACTTTTAATATGAGGAAAACTTAAAGGAATCATAGAGAAACTATTCCCCTAACGGTGTAACAATGGTGAGCAGCTAAACAAATGCCAGCAACTGCCAACCTCCAGGTTTGGTTATGTTAGAAAAATAAGCTGTCATTTGTTTAAATCCTTACAGTTGAATTTTTTGTTACTTGTAGCTGAATGTATTCCCGACAAAGTCAGAGAAACACAAATTCAAATCCCAGCTTCACCACTGTCTAATCTTAAGCAAGTTACTAAATCTAAATTTTAACTTCCTTTCTGAAAAATAAGGATATGTCAAATAATTCTTACTTGGTTATTAGGGGGATTAAAGGAGGGAATGCAGGAAAATTTATTTTCATAGTGCCAGTAATACTGTAAAACTAAAAAGGAAAAAAAAATGTATCTTGCATCTTAGGTTGTATATTTTAAACTGAAAGCTCTTCTAGGAAGCAGATCCTCCTTTTTGCATAGACCAAAGAGCTTCTAAAAGTTTCCAATCCAATACCTTGAACTTACATTTGAGATAAGAATCAACGAAGAAAAGCAAAACACCTATAAAGAGGACATATAAAAATATCTAAATTTATATTTCAGAGATCAGAAGTAGTAAATCATTGCCAGACGGTACTAGTTTGTTTTCATGTATTTTCTTTTTCAAACCATAATTATAGGTAAATCTAATTATAAATATTCCTCCATGTGTAATCTTACTTGGTTGTGGTTCTGTTTCTGCTGTACGGTTTGTCTGTCCTCCACTCATTTCAGGTAATCTGATAGGGCTGCTACTCTTTGGTCTGCTATCTAAAGTACTAAAATGAGAAAAAAAAAAAACAAGGAAAAATTAGTTTTATACAAGTCAAACAGAAAATAGTAGGTACTCTACACTAATTACGTTGTATACTGATTTACTTCCTACTTAACCCCACCTACAATATCAAAAGTCTGATTCATAATTTACATAAACACAGGCTAAAACACAGAAAAAAAAGTCTGAAATATCTAATATCTACTAGACTGAAAGTGAAATGCTGTAACTATAAAAATATATGGAGGAATAAATTATGTTTCCCAAGTCCATTAACACTATATCAGCACCCATAAATCAAACAATTACAGAAAATATCAATTCCTTTCTCTCACACTAGTTATCGCAATGATAATTCAGATAAAATTTTATCATGTTAGTAGAGTTGGAAACTCTATTTCAGTAAGAATCATAATAATAAGCATGTGACAATTTCTGTCTAAAAGTCTAAAATACTGAACATGCCAAAAGAACTGGTTTGGATTTGGTTTTTGAAGTATTAGGACCTTTACTTATTATAAACAATTCACAGATACTTTAAATTGCCAAGTCAAGCAGTAGCTTACCAATTTTACAATTTTATAAAAATAAAAAATAAATACCAATTTAGTTTTTAAATAAAAACATTTTTTCATTTTTTTCAAAAATGTCATTAAATCTGAATATACATTTAACTGCTATTGCAATTATCATAAAACTGCATTCTAAGGGACTGTTTAGTTCTTTTGCTATATTTGAGCTTTGTTGTCTCAATTATTGGCTGAATGAGTGCCATTATCTGAATCCTAGAAATTTTTATGCTGATAAAATGCTATAATAAAACTGAAGTACAAGCATATAGAAAATGATAACTAAATTAAAATAGTTTCTACTCAATCATGAATCACCTATTTGTTGGAAGCCCTTCTTCAGCACCATTCCACTGAGTCGCTTTAGACAATTCCTCTAAGGCATTTCGGTATTCTTTACAACTTAGGGTAAAAATAGGTTGAAAAATGTTAAACATTAACTTATTCTTTAAAAGCAAATCATATGCTTTACAGTAAGTATTGCATTATAGAAGCACAATCATTATAACTTTCCATAATTAAATAATTTTGGTTAACTAACAAAAGCAATCAAGTAGAAGCTTCATGAGGAAGGTCAATGTCTTCATAGAAGGTAATACAAAATATGACCCACTGACTCATCAACCAGTATCAATATCCTCAACAAAGATTTTAAAAGCCTATTTACTAATATTTACATCAAATGACTTCAGGGACTGAACAGGTAACTTAAAAGTTTGAAGCCTCAGTATTTAGTACAATAGAGAAAAAAATAATATGAGAGTGCTTTTCTACTTAAAGTACTAAACTTTAAGGGGAAAAAAATGTTTAATGTTCTATTAACAAAAAAGAAAAAAACAAAAACAAAAAAACCTGACTCTTAGACTAGCAGTCTGGGAGGCTTGCTTTAGATAAATGTCATGCAACAAGAGAGGCATGTTAGGATGTGTTATTTTTCTAAGACATTGAAAAAATATCTCAACTAGAATCCTTACTTCCTAATGGTATAAAAAATACTTTTGATTTGACTGACTCTCCTACCTTTCTTACCTATTAATATATTATGACTAATAAATAAAGTGAGAAGCTTATACTATGTTCACAGAGGCCAAAGGCAAAGGTTAAAAATGTATCATATGGAATCCTATCAAGGAAAAAATTCCTCATTATCTACATAGTAAACTCTAAACTCCATATAGGCAGAGGCATGTAAATCTATCTTATTTACTCCTGTATATCCAATACCTAGTATATCACATTTTGTAAACATTCAAATATTTGTTGAATAAATGGACTCCTTGTAACCACTATCTAAAAAGAAAAATTAAACATTGTAATGCCTTCCAGTGGGAAAAAATTGCTTTAAACGTCTTAGATTCTACTTAAACTAAGTTCAGCTACCACCAAGATATTCTTAAAATTTAAAAGCTTTGCCCTTTTAGACATACTATATATATTTTTAAGTGGATATATCTTTAAGATACATAACTGTATAAACTAAAAAGTCAGAAATGTCTACGGAGTAAGGCATAAGAACAGCATTACAGTAGTACCTCCTCATCCATAGTTTCACTTTCCATGGTTTCAATTACCCACAGTCAACAGCAGTCCAAAAACATTAAGATATTTAGAAAGAGAGAGAACACATTCACGTAACTTTTGTTATAGTATATTGTCATAAAACTGTTCTATCTTGTTATTGCTGTTGTTCATCTCTTATTGTGGCTTGGCTAATTTATAAATTAAACTTTATCACAGGTAGGTATGTATAGGAAAAAGCATAGTATTTACAGGGTTCGATACTATCTGTAGGTTCAGACATCCATGGGGGTTCTTAGAACATACCCTCCATGGATAAGAGGTGACTGCTGTTTTCTAAGCAGAAAACTTTTACCTCGTATGTAGAAAATGAGTGAATGGTACAAAAAAGATATTCAGACTGTACAAGGCAGGATGTTCCAAGTACTGTGTCAATAAGTAAACTGAGGGAAGGGATACAAGGGAAAACATATTTTAACAGAATGGATAGAGGATTTAAGGCTCTGTAAATAACTTGCCAAGTCAATTTAGTTATTAGGAGCTTACTTAGGAATCATCCTTTACTCCATTATTTGGGTACAAAGAAGATTTTTATGGACAAAAAGAACAAGCTGCCAGGCACGGTGGCTCACATCTGTAATTCTGACAATTTGGGAGGCCGAGGCAGGTGGATCACCTGAGGTCAGGAGTTCAAGACCCGCCTGACCAATATGGTAAAACCCCTTCTCTACTAAAAATACAAAAATTAGCCAGGCATGGTGGTATGTGCCTGTAGTCCCAGCTACTCAAGAGGCTGAGGCAGGAGAATTGCCTGAATCCAGGAGGCACAGGTTGCAGTGAGCCGAGATTGCACCACTGCACTCCAGCCTGGGCAACAGAGTGACACTCTGTCTGGGAAAAAAAAAAAAAAAAAAAAAAAAAAACAAGCTACCATGACTAAAGAGCATACATTTTTACTTATATTTAATCATTCTGCTTTATATGAAAGATTCCAAAAATAAGGGATTAATAGACATACATAAAATACATAGATATCATCATAAGTCAAAGTCCCATACCTGAGAGCAAAAGCAATGATGGAGCTGGGTTCCTTCTCGCAGACTGCAATGGGCACTCGTTCATGTTCGTACATTAAATAGTGTTTATCTGGATCACTATGAAAATTTTTAAAATACATAAGTTAACTAAGTACTGTAGAGTTAAGAATATAATTAAGAAAGCCAAAATGTATGCATATATGATAACTTGAATCATTAAGAAAGAAAAAGATATCACGAGAAAGTTTTTGAAGGCAATTAGAAAATTATCAGAATTAATCAGGTTTCAAATCAGAGGGTTCTGCAATAGTCACTCCAAACAAACCTTTCCATACTGCCAAGACCCTGGCCATATTAACCTCAAAAAAAAATCTACAATCAACAGCAGAGGTCTAAGATATTTTGTTCCATTATAAGCTAGAGAGAAAAAGTCTTCCAGAAATTGTGGAGAAGACATACTACTAGTTCAATAATAAACAATGCAACACAGCCACTCTACCATTATCATACAAAAAACCCAGTGTAGCTCCATTTCCACTTAAATTTTGCTCCCCTGACTCCGACCCTAACTCACCTAGGCACTGTTAGGCACAGTCAATTTTTATTTAGGTGCTATTTACTGAACACCGAACATGCCAAGGATACAATATGAAGAAAAACTATTTTTAAGGATCTTACATGTGTGAGATGTTAACAATATAATGGTGAAAAAAAAATTGGCACCATAGAGTTTATAGTGTAGTGGGGGCAAAGAAACACACAATTCTATAAACAAATAAATATAATCTCTGTGGTAAGTGCTATGAGGGAATTGCTATAGAATGAATGTTTATCCCCCCAGCCCCCACAAAATTCCTATGTTAAAATCCTAACCCCCAATGTTATGGTATAAGGAGGTAGGGCCTTTAGGAGGTAATTTAGGTCATAAGGGTGGAGTGTTCATGAATGGGATTAGTGTCCTCATAAAAAAGATTGGAAACAGCTCTCTCAGCCTCCTTCCACCACATGAGAACACAAAGAGACAATAGCAATCTACAACCCAAAAGAGGACCCTTGCCAAAACCCAACCATGCTGGCACCCTCATCTCAGACTTCTAGCCTCCAGGACTATAAGAAATAAATTTCTGTTGTCTATAAGCAACTCAGTCTATGGTAATTCATCATAGCAGCATGAACGGACCAAGATAGGAATCATAAGAGCATATAATAGAAACCTACTATGACTGGAGCAGGAGGTAAGGGGAGGGTCTATTACATTCTTCTGAGAAAGAATAGGACTGAATGATTAAAAAAGAATGTGTTTCACAAAAAGCAGTTTAGAGAGAAGAGAAACAAATAAAAAGAAAAAAACTATATTAAAAAAAATTAAAAAGGGCCGGGTCCAGTAGCTCAGTACTTTGGGAGACTGAGGTGAGCAGATCACCTGAGGTCAGGAGTTCAAGAGCAGCCTGGCCAAGATGGTGAAACCTCCTCTCTACTAAAAAACATGAAAATTAGCCAGGTATGGTGGTGCACACCCCCAGCTACCTGGGAAGCTGAGGCAGGAGAATCACTTAAATCTAGGAGGCAGAGGTTGCAATGAGCTAAGATTACACCACTACATTCCAGCCTGGGTGACAGAGTGAGACTCTGATTCAAAAATAAAATTTAAAAAATAAAAATAAATGTGAGAGCATGAACAAAGACCATAACATAACAGGGATCCCAGCCCAATCAAGAAACTCATATATTCAGGTCTAAAGTAGAGAAAAAAGGGAACTTTTATATTTTACTATCATATAACATATCACATACTGTACTGTGAGTCCTAACTGTATCTTCCCAAAGATTATGAGCTCCTAAGAGTGATGACTGTTCCTTACAAATCTTATTCTACATCATAGGGCACTAAAATAGGCACTAAATAAAAGTTTAAATACTGACTGAATAAATACATCAGTCAGTTAATAAAAAAGCAGAAGTCCTTATTAACAAAAATGTCCACTTTTTGGATACACTTGCTCCATAACAAGGGCAGCATTTGAGAGCCACATCGGTCAACCAGTGGAAGAAAAATAAACTTTCACAGGCAGTCAAATTTGAGGGAGCCCCATACAAAAAAGATGACATGAAAACTTGGACAAGTCACTATAGTTCATCATCAGTGCTAGGACAATGCCATGTCCCCGCAAACCATTAGACGAGTAATACCAACCGCATATATTACCAGCAATATGTTTTTATAATTATTACATCAGTAGATACAGCCATGTATCTTTGAAAAAAGCTATACAAACAAGTGTTTCCGGAACAAGTAATTCAAACATTTATAAGTAACATCGGCCAGTGCTTTCTTTATCCATTCATTCACTGTTTTATAATGATTATGTGTTCTACAAACTACATTGTATCAAAAGACATCTCTTTTACTATGATGAAATAAAATTGGGATTGAAAAATCATGCATCAGATAAATATATTAAAATACGCAGCAAGTAATTAAGGAAAAATAATCCCCCTGCTAAGAGCCACTGGTTTTAATAATACTTACAAAGGAAATGGAATAGGATTATAGCTATTTCCTGGAAGCAAATTTGCAAAGATGGCTTTCATGGTTGACTTTTCCTTCACTTGGCTGTCTGTGGATCCCAGCAAATGCCCATCAAACACATCTAAAATGAAAAATAGTCTACTTATATATTAATATTCAGGGAGAATAAAAAATATAAGCTGCTGACTTTGGTTCTTTTCCTTTCTGGAATATGGACATATGTATACTATACCAATAACAGTTTAAAATTTCTGATCAAGGGAAAAGACCACTATGGGATAAAACAGGTAACAACAGTGACGCATACACAGCATTGACTCCAAGGGACACCTGTTTTTTTAAACATCTCTGAAGCACTGTGGCTATTATACCTGAGTTAAATAGCAATTTTAAAGTTAATTTCAAAGTTTATACTATAATTTAGTAGTCACCACCTAAACAGAAAGCAAGGCATGAATCTGTTATCATGAAACAAATATCTGTCCTTAGAGAAATGGTTGTAATTCTCTTATTTTCGTACAAAGCAGTAATCATGTGCCTTATGAAACCTAAGAAAGGAAGATCCCCAGAAGGTAGATGAGGATAAGTGACATTTTGATACTAAGATATTTACATGTCAATTAATGTAACTAAATGAAGTAACAATATGATAATAAGCTAAATGTAAAAAACACTTTCGGTAAGTGTAAACAAAAATTCTAAGGGATAAGAGTCTTACGTCAAAGAATCAGCAGTTTTTCCTTCTTGGTGACACATGTAAATCAATGATACATCTTTCAGTCTTAGATTCAGTGAAATATGGTAAAAGTGACTTATCCTCTACCTTCAGAACTGCTGGCTGTATCTAGCTCAGGGGGCCCTCCTACTGACTGCTCAGACATGACTTCAGGTGGCGTAGGCAACTGGAGATGAGTAGAACTGGTGGAGCTCTGGCTGGACAAAGTTGTTAAGAAGCGATCCTCTAAAGAAAAACACAATCTTAAATGAGTCATTTACATACATACTAAGTCCATGTCTACCTAATATTTTTTAAATGCTCATTCATATTCCTACTTCCTAAAAGGCAAAATTTTCACTTTTTAAAAATCATCTAGCTACAAAAGTCATGTAGCTCATGTCATAGAAATGGACACAAAAATCCGGAAAAATTATGTATGACTTGACTACAATCAAATCCTGGTAGCAGTACTGCAACTGTCAACCAAGACTGACTCCTATCCAATACACTATCCATTATACCACAATGCCTACCTAAATACTAGTTTTTTAGTTTAATAGAGAATGAAATTAGGACACTGTGAGAAAGGCTGCACGCTTATTCTGGGAGAGAAAAAACAATTATAACAGAAAAATGCCAAGAATTAAAAGTTGAGCTCCTGGTTCTACAGTCCATGTAAGTGTCCCCACAAAGTTTCTATGATGACACCAAATTATGCAATGAAATATTGTGAAAGACATCTTAAGTCTAGACAATATTTTAGTGACATTAAAACTGTAAATTAAACTTTACAAGATTTTTGCAATGAAACCTGAGGACTGACTTTGTAATAAGCAAAACAAATTCAATTTACTTTTTTCTGTTTTTTCTTCCCCTAATAGCAGCCTTCTTTATATTTCATGTATTTCTATAACCTGATTTATCTTATTGCAATAAACTGTATGATAATCTGATAGGATTACAAGTGCTCTACAGGAAGGAAAGAAAGTCTATGAACGACAGATTCAGAAAAACTGCTCAAACAGTTTAAAACAACTTATACAATAAGAAATTTCTTTAAATCCAATGGCAAGTGATCACCAGACTCAGGACCAACCTTTTTCTCCATTCTGAAGTCCTGGAGAAATATTCCGTGGAGAGGCATCCATCGCACTTACCTGTAGAGAAGTAAATACTTTATTCTTATGGAAAACATGAAAATCCCATTCAAAAAAATTTTTAATCAGTGAATCTTAAACTTTCTGGTCTCAGGACCCATTTACACCCTTAAAAATTACTAAAAACCCCCTTAATATTTTTAATTAGCTTTTGTTTACCTTAAAAATTTTTACCTTATTAGAAATTAAAACAGAGAAAGTTATTAAATCTGCATTAACTTATTTATAAATAAACTCATTAATATAAGTAACCTATTTAAACATGTAACATACTGTACATACTATCTACCCTTTAGTCACATAGTAGCTGTCCTGGTTATCAGATCAACCATCATAGTATGGCAGTGCTTATTTTCAAGTAACCCTTATTTTAATGGTCCCAAAGCGCAAAAGCAGTGATGCTGGCATACTATTATAATTGTTCTCTTTTATTATTACTATTGTTAATCTCTTACTGTGCCTAATTTATAAATTAAACTTTACCATAGGTACACATACATAGGAAAAAAACAGTACATACATGGTTTAGTACTATCTGCTATTTCATGTTTCCACTGAGGTGTCTTAGAACATACCCTCCTTGGATAACGGGGGACCATCCACTGTAAATATTAAGGGCAGTGCTACAGAATTTCAAATCAACTTTCAATCTTTCAAAAAAGATGATCATCTGTTCAATAATTTTGTATTTTCAATTCTGTATCTATCTACATGCTTACACTATTAGCTTTGCAGTTTCTTCAGTGAGCAAATGGAAAGGCCACCAGAAGTCTGTGCTAGTCATTAACAGCTCCACACTAGTTGGCAAATACCAACACACAGATCTTCAGTAGCCTTAATTCTTACTCTCACCTAAACTTCCTTTTTGTCTCACAAACATCTGTGTGTTTCTACACAGTTGTTTATGAGACAAAAAGGAAGAATTCACTATATATTACTAAATAACAAAAATATCTTAAGTACCTGGATCCATCATTCCATGAAAATATTCTACAAATACTACACACTGTACAAAAAGAAAATACTCCCTCAAAGCCCTCATGATATCAGAACATGAAGCCCTTATAATAAGCTGACATTAATTCATGTGAAACGTGGTGTCATAGGCAGAATTCTAATATGGCCCCAAGATTCCCAGCCCTTGGTGTATACACATCTCTTCTCCATTAATCACATACACATTCCCTGACTTATGATGGTCTGACTTAAGATTTTCCAACTTTACAATGTCACAAAACCACTATGCATCCAGTATGCTCCTCAACTTATGATGGGGTTACATCCACATAAACTCATCATAAATTGAAAATATTTAAGCCAAAAACATACTTTTGGATGTTTTCAACTTATGATGAGTTTATCAGAACATCAACCTCTCAGAAGTTGAGGAGCATCTGGACTAATTTAGGTACTTCTGTAATTTTGCAGATGTAATTAAGGCCCCAAATCAGATGACCTCAAAATAGGAAAATTATCCAGATGGATCTGATATAACCACATGAGTCCTTAAATCTGTGTCTATAGATCAAAGACAGAGAAAGTAAGTGATTCGAAGCAAAAGAAAGGTTTGACACATTGCTGTAGGTTTTGAAGACGGAGAGTACTGAATGGCAAGAAATGCAGGCAGCCTCTAGGGGTTAAGAATGGTGTCCGGTGGACAGCCAGCAAGAAAACGAGGACATCAATCCTACAACTAATAGAAACTGAATTCTGCCAACAACCTGAATGAGTAGGAGACCCTGAGTCTCAGATAAGACAGAAGCCCCAGCCAAAACCTTGAGTTCAGCTGTGTCAGATTCTGAGCAGAGAACCTAGTCATGCTTGCCAGTCTTCTGACCCACAGAAACCATGAAATAAATTTGTGGTTTTGGCCAATGTTTTGGATAATCTATCACCGAGCAAGAGAAAACTAACACAGTTGAAAAAGAACTGACACAGTTCAAATACCTTAAGAAAAACCTCTTATTTAAGCACAGAGATTTTAAAAACACCCAAAACTGCAGAGTATAAAATAAATGAGGACCCTATTATATACTTAGAGTATCCACGACTTTCCTTTGTAGCACTTGCTGTCACCATGATGCCACCCCCGGTGATGCCAGCAAACTGTAGCTTTTAAAAACATTTCAAATAAATAAATTATAACCGATCATTTTATTTCAGGTTATAACATAAAAGTAATCCAGGTCACAGCTCCTTGAAACCTCACAAATTCAAAATGGAAAACCCTGCTGGATGTCATTACTAAAGTATGTATTAAACTATCCCTGCTAAGTATTATAAATGGAACTAACTATATTTTATCCATTAAGGACCAAAGACAAGATTACACTTCACACCTTGCTTTCTTCCCCTTGTCTCAGTCTTCCAGGACTTGGAGGAACTGAAGGTCTCTTTCTACCCTTTTCCTGTTGGAAAAGGTCCTGCAACCTGTGGCCAAAAGCAAAACAAAACAAAAAAATATATATATATATGGTTTGTTTCTGCACCTTGAGTGCTGTTTATAAATTTTCTCTTTACAACTTTGAAATCACAAAGTTTTCCTGTTTGAATTAACCATAGTCTTTAAAGTTATATATAAATAAGAGTAAGTTTTTGTCATATCTAATTGATCAGGGGCATTTGTTATCGACCATTCCTATCGACTATAGTTGTAAAAAAAAAGAATAGCAAATTATTATAAAGAAAAATACTTCTAAAAAATAAATATTGAAATAAAGGCATAAGATAAATATATCAATATATTTGAAATTGCTGGCTAAAAACCAACAGTGACTCATGGCATACTACTTCAGTTAAAAACAATTCAACAGCACACACATCTGAACAACACTGTTTCAAATTATATTAGAAACAGTATCAAAGGCTCTTTTCCTCTTTGGTTTTTACATCTTCACAAACTACCTAAAATATAGCACATACATTTTAAAATATAAAGAGGAAAGGAGGGTGATGGAAAACAAAAGCTTCTTTAACTTGAGCACAAAATGAAACATCCATAATTAAAGATTTGTAAGTTGTAAGGTATCACATTAGAACAAATGTAGCAATAATATTAAAGAAAACCAGACTGCAAAATCACACCTGTTATTCCAAGCTTGCAGCACTTCACAGAGACTTTGTTTCTTGGCAATGAGTGACTCAAAGACCGACTGTAGTTGCTGAGGGGTATCTAGAGAGGAAGACATGAGCCTTGCTTGCATCTTCTCAATCCAGTTCTTGAACTCGCCTTCTTCCATCTACAAGGAACAGAAACAATTTCCGGAGACAGAGACCTATACAGACATACCCCAAAATAAACTTCTATTAAGTTAATAAGTAACTTTTGAATTTTCTACCAAAGAAATAAATTACCTCTTTCTGTGCAAAGATATCTTCCATTTTTTCCTCTCTTGTTTTACTAAATGTATCAGTTTTCAAAGATGCAAGTCTTTCATCAATGGCAAGATATACCTGTGAAACTCTAAAAATAGAGAGAACATTGAACACTTTAAAAAGAGTGAATCAAATTTTCTATTTCACATAAATAGAAAAAAAAGTTGTGCAAAACATAATTAAAATAATGTTTTACCTAATTAAGAATTACATACAGTTTTGCAGAGCAAATAAGACCTAAAAGGATGTACTTCAAAATTTTAAGTTGTTATGTCTAAAAGAGTTTGGCTTCTTTTTTATTATTTTTCCATAAAGTCTACAATTTTCTTTTTGTACACCACGCATGCATAGCATACAATTAGAAAAGCTATTTACATTTTCAAAGAAAGTAAAATGAACAAACCTGATACTTTAAAATAGCTGTAAATAAACAAAAAAAAAGATGATAAAAGAAACTGAACTTACTTTTGAAAGAAGTCCTTCAGATCCTGAAGAAGGGACACTTTTAATGGGGCCTGACGCTTAATGAATATTTTGGGAAGTGGAACACATACTTCAAGAAGCCGAATGGGAGAATAACTGACAGAAAAAAATACAAGGACCAATAGAAAATGAAAAATAGTTTAATATCTTGAATAGAGCTGTATCATGATGTTCAACTAAATCCTATGAGGCATAAGAGAAAAAGTTTCTATAAAATGGCATTTTAAAACGATCACAAAGATATTAAAGATAATTTTGAGCTCTTACAATAAATATCCTCCCCAATTCTGGAGGGATTTTGTTTTATCTTTCATTACACTGTAGTACCATCATTTACCCCTTGAAGTTATCTTTATCTGCTGTAAAACCAAAAATGATGGCTATAAACCATCCCTATTAATAAGGAAACTAAAATACCTACATCTAATTGTAGGCATTCAGTACCTCTCCAGCTCCTGAAGATTCTTCATGAGTCTTTTGTTTCCTTTCCACCTGAGGGTTTATATTGACCAACAAATGCTACAACCCCACTCCCTGGCAAGGCCCAACATGCACGGTTAAAAGCTCTTGCTTAAAAAAGGAAATAAGCTCTAATTAGCAAATATCTCCTGAGGGTCTATTATGTGCCAGACATTGTTTTAGGTGCTGAGGATATAACATTAACAATTCCTGTTCTCCTAATTCAGGAAAAACAAGATTCAGGTAACAAATAAAACAAATTCAAGTAACAAAACATATCAGAGGTTCAGTATATGGAGAAAAATATAGCAAGAAAGAGAAGCAGAGTGCTAGGATGGGAGAGTGTCAGGGCAGGTGAAATGTGAGCAAAGACTTGTAAGAGGCAAGGAAGCAACAAGCAGGTATCTGGGAATGAGCAATTCCAAGAGGGAGAACAAGCACAAGGCTCCCAGGCAGGAACCTACTTGACATACCTGAGGCCCAGTCAGGAGGCCAGTGGGGCGGCAGCAGGATGAGTGAAGAGAAAGTAGTAGGAGATAAGAGCAGAGAGGTCCTAGGCAGCCAGAGCAGGTAGATTGAAGGCCAGTAAATGGACTTTGGCTTTTACTCCAGGTGAAACAGACACCCTTTGGAGTGTCTAGAGCAGAGGAGTGGCCTTACCTGACTGCCCCTTAAAAGAACCACTCTGACTGCTGTGTTCAGAAGAGGCTAAAGGGACAAGGCCAAAGGGAGATTGGCTAAGGCCAGGTGAAAGATAACAGAGGCTCAGCCCAAAGTGGTAGTGGTAGAGGTGGTAAAAAGTGCTCAGACTCTGGATATATTTTGAAGGTAGAACCTGAAGGCTTTCTCAAATTATTTAATACCACAATGGCAACTATCAATTCTTTGAACACACACTTTTGGTTCTAGAAATATGTGATTATCTTTCTGATGGTTAATGTCTTGGCAAACATTCTGACAGACTTTCAGATGCCATCAGATGCCAAAACAATGGTTAAGAGTTAAGCCAGGGCCGGACATGGTGACTCACACTTCTAATTCCCACAGTTCCAAAGGCCGAGGCAAGATCATCACCTGAGCACAATTCAAGACCCGCCTAGGTAACAATGAGATCCTGTCTCATAATTTTCTAAAATTTTTATATTAAAAAATTTTTTTAAAAAAGAGTGAGGCTGGTAGTAGATCGACTAGGGTTCAAATCATGACTCCATCACCTGAAAGCTCTGTAAGTGTTCAGATCGTAAGCTCTGTAAGTGAGGATAATAACTATTTCGTAGGGTAAAAAGTAAATAAAATAATACTGAAAGTTCTTAATACAGTCTGGTCCTCTGCATTTATAAGTGTAGAAAT